GGAAACAGTTTAAAAAAACGTTTTTAGTTTGGCAGAATTACGTGTAATTCATTAATTTGTAAAATGAGTGTATAATAATTTTCCTAAATTTGTGTGGAGTAAAGTTGAAAATATCATCCATGAGTAAAAAAATCGTGATAAATTTAATAAATTTACAAAAGTTTCTTTGCACAAACGGCCAAGAAGTATTAAAAAATCAATCATTTAACCCTCTTCGTAGGATATCCTGTACTGGACTAGGATTGTAATTTTTTGCTGCTTCCATGGAAACCAATCATTAAAATAATTCACATACACATGGTAACTTTATAAGCACTTAGGCAGAGCCCTAAGACTTGATTAGGAAACATATACAACCAACCCAGATGTGTATAGAACAATTTCCTGATTATTAGATAACCACACATATCTATACTATTATACACTAATGGTGTATTTCTGTATGAGTGTTACCGAACAATGTAAAAACTACTATAGCTGCCAGCCATACCAATCATGGTAATAGGACTATCCACACTTCGATACTGACCACGGGCTTTGCCCTTTTGGCTTTAAAAGTTCTTAGGTGAGGGTTTTAAAAGTAAATATTTATTGGTCTCCATGGATGCCATGAGAACACTCACAATGTTTATTGCTCAAACCTTTATTGCTACGCCACCCAAATGTAAACAAGCAGAAATGCCAAAGCATATTTACCATAACTGGATCAAAAACTAAATAGGCATATAATATTTTGTACAACCAAGTGATAGGTTTATTTAATTTTATTTTAGGTGATTCATTGATTATTGCTCATAGGAAATAAGTAAGATTATATAACTATTGCCGTATTAACCTAGATTCTAACCCTAATTAGTTATTTAAAATTTAGCTTTTGTTAGTAATTTTATTTTCAGATTGTTGTAGAAAAATTTAAAAATTAAAATTTGTATATTACTTAATTATTTTGATATATTTATGTTTACAATTTTAATATACTTAGGCTAAATATGTGTTTGGACTACGGAACACACCTTAAAAAGTAAAAGATAAAGAGATGATTAATTGTATATTTTTGCCAATTCAAGAGAGGTAATGTCAGACCATTTGCTTTTTCTTAAATTTTGAAATCATAATTTTAGATTACTAGGTACCCATAATTATCATGCTTTCTGATCCAGAGGTAGCTGCTACCCTATATCTATATTTAGTTTTTGATACTTCATGTAGATTTCCCGTTCTATTCTAATAATGAACAATTTTTTATGAGCGTATCATGGTCATTACATGTACCTGTACTGATATTTTCAACGAATTTCCTCTTAACTTACCCTTGACATAAACATTGTTTAAATTTCGTTAAATTTAGTAATCTTAAGCTGATGCACAAAAATTTCAATTTAAAAACAGCAATAAAAAACTATTGCCCCCCTACTAATAAAACGAAAACAAATAAAATACCATAAAATGAAGTTGTAAACAGTTTTCTTTCGTTTCTAAAATCAATGAAATATCCGTAACTAAGTTTCCTTAATCAGTGGTAAGTGTGTAGGTCTAAATGTAAATGAGAGAATGAACTATGAATAGAACTGGTAGAAATAACTGGTTTGTATTATCATAGATAAAACATAGCTCTTGTTTTATCCATGGTATTATGTTTTTGTAGTATGTAATTAGAGATATAATGAATCATATATTTACTATTAGATTTGTTTAAAATCCTTGATGTTTTGATTATTATATGATAGTTTTGTTTGTTGCGTTAAAAGTGATTTATTAATCGATACTCAATTTCATATGAAAATTAAATAATATGTACTAAAGGTAGAAATATAAAAGTGTTCTTTATTATTTTACTAAAAAAATAGTCCTAATTAGTATTATTACTAGGTGTACAATGCAGTTGTCTGCTTGCAATATTGAGCGGAGCTAGCGTGTTAATCCAATACTTTTCTAAAGTCAATACTACATCTGTTCCTCGTAAATGAAATTAAATACTTGCAGTATCCAATGTCAATGTTATATCTGCTTCACAAAAACGGAATGTCTATTTGAAGTATTCAAAGTCAATTTTCAGTCTGTTTCAAGTATATGAATTGTATACTTGCAGGAACCAAAGTCAATGTTTCATCTGGTTCTCTTAAATGTCTACTTGCAGTATCCAATATCAATGATACATTTGGTTCGCTTAAATAAAATTCCTATTTGCCAATGGTACGCCTGGTTCACTTAAATGGAATGTCTATTTGCAGGATCCAAAGCAATGCTTCATTTGACTCACATAAATGAGAAATCTACTTTCAGTATCCAAAGTCAATGATACGTCGGGTTCTCGTAAACGAATAATTTACTTGCAGTATCCAAACTCAATGGTACATTTGGTTCACATAAATGAATTATCTACTTGCAGGATCCAAAGCAATGGTTCATTTGATTCATATAAATGAGAAATCTTCTTGCAGTATCCAAAGTCAATGGTCCATTTGGTCCACATAAATAAGATTCCTATTAGCAGTATCCAAAGTCAATGGTCGCCTTACTTCTGGTTCTGGTTAACTTAAATGGAATGTATTCAAACTCAATGATACTTGGGTTCACGTAAACGAATTGTGTACTTGCAGTAAACAAACTCAATGGCACATTTGGTTAACGTAAATGAATTGTTTACTTGCAGTATCTAAACTCAGTAGTACCATAGATAAAACATACTCCCTTGTGTTGGTTAGTCTATGGTAGTACATTTGGTTCACGTAAGGAGTGCCTATAGAGATCGATGGCCTATTTGCAGGATCCAAAGTCAATGGTACGTCTGGATCACAACAATGGAATGTCTACTTGCAGTTTGCAGTATCCAAACTCAATTGTAGGCCTATATTTGGTTCACATAAATAGAATGGCTATGTGGATTACCGTATTTAAATCAATGGTGCATCGGCTTCATTCCGGCGACCTTAATATTATTGGTTATTCATTTTGTAGTAAATTATGCTCAATGATATTAATCCGGTTGATATTCCCTTTTCTCTGTACAATATTTCTAATGTGCTATTTAGATGATTCCTTGACTAACACATGTTGCGACTCTTGTTTACCTTTTTATTGTTATCTCGCAAATAATGTCATGGCAACCAATTAACCCATAAGGCCCATGTTAAATTTCCAAAAGTTTAAATTAATGTAGAGAAACCCCCTGTGGTCCGATTTCTACCATTTCAGATTTATACCTTCCCATGGTTGAATACTATGATTGTGCTAAATTTGGTGCAGATCGCTTCAGCCGTTCAGGAGGAGTATTTGTAAAACAAAAGCAGGAGTGTAGTATAAGAGCTTCGCTCACTTCGCTTCGCGCCGCTCAATTACTTTATAGGTGGTCAATTAATAGCTTCCAACTTTATATAGTATAGATATCTAATCATTAATATTTCGAAACACTATTGTAAAGGCACAAAAATATTGTTGAAGTTTATATCAGCTGATGTTTGTTAATAATTTAATGTTAGTGGATTATTTTTACATTTCGATGTACATAATAACTTTTTTTTATGTTCAGTAGTTTACTTCAATATTGAAATCCAAGATATCAAAAATAAAGGGAAAAGATGGAAAGGAGTGAGACGAAAGTGAATGAAGTATATGAAAATGATATTAGAAAATTTGGTAAGACTGTCTCATATTAGCCTATACAAGATTTAAAATTAATTTAAAAATGGTAGTTTCCATTAATTAACTGAATTAAGATCCACAAAGCTTTATAAAATGAAGTGGTGCGGTTAAATTTTGTTTCTAAAACGGTTGGCGGGTGTGTAACTATTTTATAAACGGATGCAAAGAACAAATTCTTCTCTTTCAAGTTCTCTTCTCGTTGCAAAGCACGGGTACAGCAGGGAATAAGCTAGTTGCAAATAATAACGTGAATCTAAGCAAAAAATAAATGCTTTTATTAACTCAGCGTTTCCTAGTACATGACTGGTTTTCAGGACAACTTTCGTAATAATAAAATAACAACCATATTAAATAACAAATAAAATAACAAACTAACCACAACGACCAACCCAACAACAGCGTTCCAATAATCTAACCACCAAATTCTAGCGTTCAAGCAATCCCCAATGAAAGCGAGGGGAGTTATATGTTCTCATAAAACATAAATAAGAATATGGTTTCATTTAAAAGGAGAGGTTGTCATACAACTTTGAGCCGAAGTACGAGAAGCTCCCCCTCTTAAAACTTAAAATTCACCCTTGTGAAAATGAAGCAGGGTATTCATATGACGGGTTTACGCTAGAGACCTCCTCCTGGAAGGAGAGCCTCAAGAAGGTACTGTGGCTCCTGTAGGACAAGAGTCTTTAGCAACATGCGGTACTTTCCTGTTAAAGGGTACATTAATTACTATCGATCTGATTTCTTTCGATATATCGATATTTTTGTTTTCCTTTACGATCCATTCCTTCTGTTTTAATATCTTCTAACACATTTAAATTACAGATTGACAACTGATATTGTTTAGGCAAAATTAATATTATGTGGATCCAGAAATAAACTGTTCTAAGCTAACCTAACATATCCAATCTTGCTGTACCATTTCAAAATTTCGTTTGATAACAAAAAAGGCATGAAACGGGATTTGGAAATGTTACAGCAAGTTTGTTTGGTTAGGTAAGGTTAGTTTAGAACAGTTTCATTTCAATATCATATTTTTAAATTGTTTGTTGATACTGAACAATATTTACTTTTCCTACAGTTACCTAACAATGTACATGTTCTCTCACTGATTTGAGAAAGCAAAGTGGCCAATTCGCTCATCAGTGAGACAATGTTAACATTGTCTCACTCTAATTACTTTGTCTCTGTTCTATTTCTTATACAAGAATATTATTCACACATCTTGCTTGAACAAACTCTATTTTCAAACTCAAACTAATGTTTACAAAAACATCTGACAACAAACATATTTAAACACATGATAAAAGAACAGACTTAATACAACATCCCGCTTCAAGATGTCCACATCTTTATGAACCTCAGTACCGCCTCGGTTTCTTAATGGACCTTCCGTAACTGGTTACTGTGCCAGCTCCTGGACGATCACGTGAGTTGCATGGACGATTAAGGACCATGGATGAACAGTTTGAAAGAATTCCATCTCCTCCGTAGTACGGTGCAGGAACTAAGAACTTCCTGTTTCGGCGAATAGTTCTCTTGTCAGTTTCCACAAGGTAGGAACGTGGTTCGTTCAATTTCCTGACTACCTTACCGTGTCGACGTAGATCTGTGATCCATACCATGCTTCCAACTTCTAATTCACTTAAACCACTCGCTCCATGTCGTTTATCAAATTGTATCTTGTACTTATTCTGGTACTTATTCTCCCTCTCAAGAAAATTCTTATTTTCCACAGGATTTCCAACCAAAGTAGATGGAAGATTGTCTCTTAATTTCCTTCCAAACATAAGTTCAGATGGGGAAAAGCCGGTTTCAAGAGGTGAGGTCCGGTAAGAAAGTAGGGCAAGTTCAAATTTATCCTTGTTTTTCTTCATTAGCCCTTTTGCTACTTTCACAGCTGCTTCAGCTGCCCCATTTCCCTGATGGTGGTGGGGACTACTTCTGAATGTGGAGAACCCCCACTCCTTTGCAAACAATTTAAATTCACTTGAGTCAATATGGTGAAATTGTGTCCCACTATCTGAATAAACACGTTGAGGAATTCCAAAACGTGAAAATGTGGTTTTGCAAACCCGAATCACATCTGAAGCCCTCATTCGATGCATTTCCTCGACTTCAAAGTATCTTGAGTAGTGATCCACGATAACCATATACCACTTGTCTTCGTGTTTGAACAAGTCAACAGACACATTTTGCCACGGGTAATCCGGGACAGTTCTCGGAATCAATGGTTCACTGTGATTAGTTGAGTTCTGAATACACACTGGACACGATTTGATTTTCCTTTCTATTTCTTGAGAAATTCCAGGCCACCACATGGTTCCCAAAGCACGTTTCCTTGTTTTTGTGATTCCCAAGTGTCCACTGTGAAGCCTCTCGAGCATTTCCGCTCGTAGTTCTTGAGGTATTATCATCCGAGTTCCTCGAAGCAATAGCCCATCAATACAACTTAACTCGTCTTTCACATTAAAGTACTCTTGAATCTCATTAGGTAAACTTGATTTTACAGGCCATTCGTCTAAAATTTGTAACTTAAGTTGTGCACAGATTGGATCTCTCATTTGTGAGTGAAGTACCTTTGTCACATTTTCATCTGTAGTGTTTATACTAATCAGACTGATTTCGTGGACGAAGGCTTCCACTTCTTCGGTCAATTCGCCATCTTCGTCAGCCGGAATAGGACTTCTTGATAGTAGATCTGCTATGGCAAGGTCTTTTCCTGGGGTCCAGGTCATGCGATAATCGTATCTCATCATACGCATTCGGAACCGCTGTAGCCTCGGTGAGAGCTCGTCCAAATTTTGTGTTTTGAAAATTGAGACAAGCGGTTTGTGGTCGGTCTCAATTGTGTACATTTTACCCATCAGGAAACATTTCAAACGGTCACTTGCCCATGTGCACGCAAGCGCTTCTCTCTCAATGTTATTATAGTTTTCTTCAGCAGGCGTTAGAGTCCGAGATATATATGCCACAGGTTTCTTGTTTTCTCCTTCAACTTGAAGTAAAACTGCTCCAAGACCTTTTTTTGAAGCATCGCAAGAAAGAATCGAGGGTTTTTGCGGATCGTAAACAGTCAAACATGGCTCTGATGATAAAATCTGTTTTACTGTGACAAAAGCGTTTTCTTGAGCTGGTCCCCAAAGGAAATCGTTTTTAGTCTTTAACAAGCTCGTAATTGGCTCCAAAATCTCACTGCGGTTCGGAATAAATTTTGCCAGAAAAGTGATCATGCCCATGAATCTTTGTACTTCATTAGCGTTTCTTGGAGCTGGTAAGTCCACAATCGCTTGTACCTTGCTTGGATCAGGCTTGACTCCGTCCTTAGACAGCACAAACCCCAGAAATGTCACAGTCTTCTTGCAGAACTCCGACTTCTGCTTATTCAAGGTGATTCCATTAGCTTGCACTCTCTCTAAAACGGCCCTAAGACACTCGTCGTGTTCTTCTTTCGTTCTTCCCCATATCAGACAGTCGTCAATGTGCACTAAACAGTTCTTTGCCCCTTCTAAAGCTTTTGACATGCGGCGCTGAAACTCTTCAGGAGCGGACGTAATTCCAAAAGGTAACTTACGGAATTTATACCTCCCAAAAGGGGTGATAAATGTTGTGTAATCTTGTGACTCCTCTGCAAGGTTCAGTTGCCAGAACCCGGAATTCGCATCGATCTTGCTGAAGTACTTGGCTCCCGCGATCTCGGCCAATGAAAGTTCGATCTTTGGGATAGGATAAAACCGACGTTTCACACTGTTGTTGAGTTTTGATAGGTCTACGCAGATCCTAACCCCACCTCCCTTTTTTGCGCAAACTACCATTGGTGCGCACCAATCAGTCGCGTGTTCAACTGGAACAATCACTCCTTTCTCAAGCATATCGTCTAACTGCTCTTTCACCTTGGTTTTTAAAGGTATTGGTACAACCCTGGGGGTGGATATAGCGTAAGGAACTGCATTCTCCTTCATTTCAATCTTGTACTCTCCTTTCATATTTCCCAGCCCTTGAAATAAATTAGGATACTTAGTAGCCCAGTCAATATCATGTGAATCTACAGAAAAAATTCTCCTCACCAGGTTCAGCTCTTCACAGGAACGTCTGCTAAGAAGTGGAACAGTGATCTCCTCAGAAATATACGCAAGATCATAAACTGATACACCCTTATGTTCAAGCTTTAGCCTTAAAGTTCCCAAAATATTGATTCGTTCTTTCTTCTTTGCGCTAAACACAGGGGATTTGCACTTTCCTAGAGGTAGAGTCTTAATAAAATCACCAAGAACTCCTACTGGAATCATGGTTACATCAGCTGCTGTGTCAAGTTTAAATTTTATAAGACCTAAATCTTGGTTTCCACAGCTTGCTTTTACCTCCTGGACCCAGGCTTTGTCACTGCTGTCTATATTCCCTATGAAAATCTCAGGAACCTGTTGATAACCACTGTCTGAATCTTGCTGTTCGATTTCCTTAACAACGTTTTTGTTTTTTCTCATCCACTTTTCGCGGGAGGCACAACATCGAAAAAAATGTCCAATCTCGGAACATTTGTCACATTTGGCTTTCCTAGCAGGGCATTCGGCCAGTGATCCGTGCCAGTTATAACCACATTTCCTGCACTTTTTTCTCATAGCATCCTCGGTGAATTTCTGTTCACCAGCTCTTTCAGACAGATTTGTTTTACCGACTTGTATTGACGTTTGATTCACCATAAAAACATTAGTATTGGCGAGCTCACGTTTTTGGCGTTCTAGCTCCTCGTGTTGGCGCAAGGTATTAATCGCCTTCTCCAGAGTCAATTGAGAGTCCAGCTGGAGTCTATCACTTAGAGCCTCATCTTTCATACCAATAATGAGGACCAGAAGCACCATCTCATCGTTCAGTTCACCCCATGCACACGTTTTTGCAAGACCATGCAAATCTGTTATGAATTTTTCAGATGGATCACTCCCTTGCTTGTGTCTCAGAAATTTTGTTCTCTCATAAATGATATTTCGTCTTGGCACAAAGTATGCATCAAAGGCCCGAAGAGCCTCGTCATAAGTATTCGGTTTTGGTGAAAACGAATCGAAAATATCTTCACTCCTACTACCCATTGTAAACAAAAGTACATCGATTTGCCGAGCGTCGGAAGTGCTATCTAGACCGCACCCCCGTCTGTACCTTTGAAAGCGATTCCTCCAGGAATGCCACTCATTCGGAGTAAAAGAGAAGGTATCTGGAGTTGGTAACGTCAGATTTATCATAGGAGTAGGAGTACACATTACTGCATTATTTTCTCGGTTTGTCTGTCCCAATGCAAAACCTAGTGACTCACCTTCAGTCTTTCTAGAATCCCTTTCTGACATGTAGTTGAATTCACTTTGGGCATCCTCCTCATTGTCCTCATACCTTTGCCTACGAGTATTTCGTTTTTTTTCTGCCCTTACTTGACATCATGCGTGGTTTTAGACTTTGTTCGATAAAAAATCCACTAAGCTGCCACCATGTTCTATTTCTTATACAAGAATATTATTCACACATCTTGCTTGAACAAACTCTATTTTCAAACTCAAACTAATGTTTACAAAAACATCTGACAACAAACATATTTAAACACATGATAAAAGAACAGACTTAATACAACAGTCTCACTCCAGATTTGCAACGTGAATGCACGAAATAGTGAGCGCGTAACATGCAGGCAACGTCGTATGCGCGCGAAATACGTTGGCAGCACTGGCTGTAAATCAGCTGGTCAACTGTTGTACTGTTGTATTTGTCACTTCACGTTAAATGTTATATTAAAAGTTCACTTCTGTGTAAAAATAGGTTATGTTTCTTCACCAATTTATTTGTTTTATGGTAACTGTAGGAAAAGTATAATGTGCAACTCGAGTTCAAAGTACAATTGCCTCACTCGAGAAACCATTCCTCACTCGCCTACGGCTCGTGAGTAAGGATTTCTCTCGAGTGAGTCAATTGCTCACTTTTCTCACTAGTTGCACAAATAACTATATCGTCGTTGTCAGCTGATATCTATCATTCATATCGTTCGGTACAGTATATCGGATCAAAAAATAAAATATCAATGTATCGAAAAAAATCATCGATAATAATTAATGTTCCCTTTAACAGGAAAGTACCCAGCACATGATCTACCGTAGTCTCTCCTGCTGCAGCTCTGTAAGAAGTGACATATTCAATCTTTTCAAGAAAGAAAATACATCTAATTGCAGATTCTGCAATATAAAATAATCTCATCTATATAATTTTATTCAGAGTACGCTAAGTGGTTTCTAAGGCTAGAAGAATATAGTAAAATAAGTATCGCAACACTCCAAAATTAAGCACTTGGTAAAATACTTACTAAGTTGGTAAATATGTAAAATATATCACAATGGCGATTAATTTAGACCAGTCACAGCGGTCATTATCAGACACTATTGGAGACTCCACTTTTAACCTTACGTAGCTATATTCTGTTAATATTGTAAGTCATTCGTAAATAGAACGGGTAAAATGCCCAAACACACACGGTACCTAAATTATACTATTGAAATACAGAGTTGTTTATTTAAGTGATATCATCCCGCCCAATGTAACCGACTTGAAACACACATAAAATCAGACTTCTCGCACACAAACTTAGAATTAATTTACACAAACTCAATGTTTGATCCGATTCCCGCCAATATCACCTCCCAGAACGTTGAGATCTTGAAATATTTCCGAAGCACAATAGCCTATTGACGACCTCCGTAATAGCAAGATACCACTGGGGAGAATTCCAATTAAAATTAGGAATTTAATAAAAATTAACAAAGCGTCAAATATAAACGATCCGCAGCGTAACAAAAACCCTTAGACCGCGTCATCTGGTGAAATTAAAAACTATGTAGCACCCGTGGAAATGTTTAATAACTTGAAGGAGCAAAATTAATCCAGGAAGTTTTTTCATTAGAGCCGTAAGGGTTGGGGTTTATAATCCTCCCCGAGAAGCATGTATGTAATTAAACTGTATGATGGCAAAGAGATATAATTAGATTCCTCTCGACGACCTCTGGAATTATTAATTAACTTTAACCTCTTTGTCACGATATCCTGTCTTAGCCTCGGGATATTTATTGAAATTTCACCTTTGATGTTTTTACTCCTTCCGTTTTGTAATTAAAGCTTACCGTAATATTTATGGTAGCTGCGGGACAGTGTTTTCTTTTTAATTTTATCCGCCGGCTAAGTTGGAGTCATAATTTGTTAGTGTAGAAATCTAGTGGTTTTGGTGTTTATGCAAAAAATATCGGATGATAAATAGCTGAAATATTACGATTTTTAGTTGCAAAATGGGTTAGAATAAGGCAGAAGCTAGTCAGATTATTTGTCCCATTTACAACTAAAAATCTTAATATTTCAGCTATTTTACATCCGATATTTTTGAACTTGGTATCGTTTGATAGAGAATTGAAGATGCCAAATAATAGTGTTCTTGAAATTTTTTTCATAAAATCAGCCGTTTTCGACTCTTTTTAAGTTAAAAATGGCCGCCATTTTGAAATTTAAAGCTGAATCAAGATGAATCTTTTTCTAACGTGGGTCTCTTCTACCTTAACATACATACCAAGTTTCATAAAGATCGGTTGAAAAAATCTTAAGATAAAAATGTTTATGTAAAAAATAAATAATGGTGGATATCTGGTAAACGAAGCAATTTTGGGGGAAAAAATATTTTTGACTTTCTCTTTATTTTTACCCAAGGAATCGCTACGTAAATTAAGTCCCCACCTTTTTTTAACACCCTGTATACAGTATACAGTATTCTAGTATTAGAAGGCTACACACATACTAAAAAGCTTACAATTTTTAGCCCAAATGAGTTCACGACTAGTTTAAATGGACCTGTATTTATGGGATTATGTGTTTTACTTATGTCGGGAGACATTAAACTTTTTACCTTATACACTTTTATAATCATCACATAGTTCCATTTATTCTTCAGACCGCAGACAATATCGTATCAAATCCATCTTTACTTTCAAAGTCCGTTTACGCATCAAACTAGCAGGATATTAAATAGATTTTTAGATTAAACAGATTATTTCGACTCAAGATGTAAATTATGTATGAATGTATTCCCACTTATCCTTCAGGTAAATAATACTTCAAAACAGTCATAAAATCGCTTATGTGCGCGCCAGGAAAGTTTTAGAAAAAGGTAATTTTGCTGTCTTAAAACATCCCAAAATAGGTATAAAATGCTTTAAGTAGGGACATCAGACATCTTCTTTGGACAACCATCCCTCAGCCATAATACATCCCAAAACTGGGAAAAATCAATCAATTGGAAACACTAGAAAGATTTTAGGGGCACCATCGCAAAGCCAAAAATATCCCAAAATATGCACAAAATTGCTTATGTACCATGCATTGCTTGTTTATATATCATATGGTATGCTTATGTACCAGGAATACTGTGGTGGGAATCATCTTTCGACCAAAAATATCCCAAACAGAAATAAAACAGCTTATCTAGAATAACCAGAATGATGCTTGCGGGAATCATCCACAGCAAAATAATATCTCAAAAATTGTATAAAATTGCCGAAGTGGAAGCACTAGAAACATTGTAGATGTAATCATTCAACGACCAAAAACATCCCAAAAAGTATAACATTGCTCAAGTAGAAGCACCCGAACGATTGGGGGGGGGGGAGCTTGCGGTAAACCCCTGTCCCCAGGGGTCGCTGATTACCATCACAAGCCTAAGTACAAATAAGGGAGCTTTTAACTGGCCACGTGCTCAGAAATAACACTAACGGCGTCTGCTACATAATCAGCTGATTCAGCGCCATCTTGGTCAGATATAATGGGATTAGCGTGATTAATGTTCAGTTCAGGATCAAATTGACCAAGCCGGAGTGTTGGACCTGTAGTTGGTGGAGTCGTAATTACTGGATCGATTGTGAGCTGTACAAGTTTGGTTTTAGAGTGAATTTAACTCTATCATTGACTTTTGGTGTTAAAAGTATATAATCTTATCATCTTACTAATATTATAAATGTGAAAGTTTGTGTGTTTGTTTGTTTGTTTGAAGTTCTATCACGCATAAACCACTGGACAGATTGGGCTGAAATTTGGCATGATGATAGCTCACATTCCCGATTAACATATAGGCATATTCTCATCTCAAAAATCCTTTCGGGCTCCGCCCCAGTGGCTCTGTAGTTCCCCATATTAACCTTATGAGTATTCTTAGTCAGCTGTTTCAACTAAAAAAGTTGGTTCTATGATATACAAAAGCATTAAAAAAGTTATAAGATTTACCATTAGGGTGCAGCACTATATATTTTTTTTGCATTTATGTAAACAGCTAATTTGAACTAAGCAGCAACAAAAACTGTGATACGCAATGAGAACTGTCAAAGTAGGATGGTTTACCGTTATGTTTATGTTTTTAATGTTATGAATAATTTGTGATGTTTTGTGAATTCATAATAATTTATTTTGCTTTATTGTTTAGGTGAAGAGGTAGAATATTATGGCTATATGGTGGATGTGTAATACATTATTATACCGTAATTTAAAGAAACAAATTTTTATCAAACTTTGTCCTCCCCCATTGCAAACGCAAAGCTTGAGTATAGCTGCAATAAGCATTTTAAACTTATATCCCAACCCCGTACGAAGGACGGGTACTCGGCTAGTATTGTAATATTCGAAACTCGTTTAGATATGTATTTAATTTATTGTATATTTCTCATCACGGTCACAACACAAAAGTTGCAGTACGTTTTTATGTCTGTCCATGATTGGTAAACTCTCGGTCCTTTTGGTTGATGGCAATTATATCATAGTCCTTCCTTACGCAATTTGATTAGAGGACAAGCAATACATGGAGCTCGTCAATACAGTAAATGATTAAAGCTATTTCAGCTGGTCCATGATAAGAATAACAAATATTTAACGAGTACGTTTTTTAAACTTTTGAGCATAGGCTACTCCTAGTATACTTCTCGCTATGAAAGCATATGACAGTAAACCCTTTGTTAAGTAAACTGTTAAGTAAACAGTAAACTCTATGAATCGAGTGATTTTTTTTTTAAACCAATTCGTCCAAAATTTACCAAAAATCACAAAAATTGTGTCTTTTAACATGCCATGATTTGGTTTCCTGTGCGAAACCTATTGGTTAAAACACAAAATCTGGAGGTCGCTGGTTCTACACCAAGTCAAATCGATTCTGGATCCTGATGCAATTTGCCATTGGGGAAATCAATTAATCTACCAAAAAGTTGACGTTAGATAATAACAAGACCAGGGGTTACACCACCCTGCTTAAAAAAAAATACCCCCGCCGCAGCAAACCTGCAGACTTAGCGAATTTTCATTTGCCTCATTGGATTTACACTAAATTTTTTTTCTTTAAATATATCACATTGATTCCATATTTAGATAGAATTAGTTTAACGAGTACTTAGGTTTGCTGCAACAGGGAGGGTATAAAAGTGTTTTTAATGTAAAATTTGCTTCCCTTAACATAAAATTTATCACCTGTTCCAAGAAATATCTAATAATGTTTGTAAATAAAATAAACTAATAGGTTATGTACTATACTGTGATCATGGCATTAATGTCCGAAACATGTAAGTAATATCAAATAAAATGTTTTTAGGGTACTGTGGTATTTTGATTTACTTAGTAATATATCTATATATATATACATAAATAAAATTTTAACGAATGGTCTTTTTGGCCTCTGGGGACATTAAAATGAAAAAGTAAATCGGTCCCGGGTCTAGGTCTTACCATGCCACCTACGGTAATAGCTTACTTCCCTATAGGAAAATTCGCTAAAAGAAACCTGGATGAAAATAAATTACAATTATCTTCTAAGTCAAAGCCTCATTATTAAATGTCAAGATGACAATAATACAAGTGATATATAATTAATGATTACAACCATCAACTATCATTTTCCAAACTACCAAAATATTTCAAAATAACATCAAATAATCTCCTAAACCACATTTAATCCAACCTTTCTACCTAACAACGGGAAACGTGAAACAAAATGTCAAAAAGAAATGAAAGGAAACAAGAAATAAATGAGTTTTGAGTCTAGACGGCAACTCAATTATTAGTCATCCCTTCCAACAATGAGCACTGCCACCTTGATCGCAGGATTTCTCCGACGCCCACTGCCACCGTGATCGCGGGATTAGACGGAGATAATTTCCGTTTGATTTGCCGCGATGACGTCACGGCTGCACCCTAAACGTGTGTCGCTTTGTTATCATGACCGAGCCAGCCACTGAAGGGCAAAGGGACATTATAATTCGATTATGTGCGGATGGGAACCAGCCCTTAGCGGGTGTTTTATACCATGATATATGCTTCCGGGATGATTGTCTGCCTCTACTCCCATGCTGCAAGTCCGACTGTGTAACATGATCTGTGCGAAAATGCTGACAATACTTTGGATTCTGCATGCAAACTTTTCGTTGTTTTCACGTTATAAAATATGGTTGTGTTCACGTCTATTTTGATTTTTGGTTACTTTCTTATTCCAGAATAAATGTAACCAGTGTTTAAACATTATATTGTAGATGTATCAACCTTATGGACCGACTCAATTGAAGGGGTAGTCTTGTCCGGTTTATGAAGAGGACGTGTTGTCTGTTACTATTTGTTACTATTGCTTGTATAAGTATTGCAGCCATAGAGTAAATAAGAAATCGTAAAATCTATTCTAGAATAAGAGAGAAACGTTTGATCGTTCATCTCAAGATCAAACTATTACTTAAGGATTCATAGTCAATGCTATTACCATTACCACCAAATTGAACAACTGCTCTAGAGAAACTTTCCTCACTCGCCTATGGCTCGTGCGTAAACATTTCTCTCACGTGCAGCAAAGGAACTTTGCACTCGCGTTACACATTATATTTTTCCTACAGTAATATAAGTCCTAAAAATAATTAGTCTTTCAAACACTGTACAACACGTTTTCACGTTTTTAGGTTAGGTTAAATCCAAACATTGGACGAAATTGGAAACGCAGCACCAGCTGATCGTAGTGGTAGTATCTAAGTGCTGCCAACTCTCAAGCGTACACGTATTACGTGCCTAATAAAAGCACACAGTTTTGTGTTGTTTGGTTGGAATACTGGAGTGGAGTGCGGCAAAAGAAAATGAGTGTGGCAAAAGTAGGTAGGTGCAGCAAATAACTACTGCGTGCTATAATCAGTGCAAGGAAGCCCACTTTTCCACGTAATGTAGGAAAAAGTTGTGTTCAGCTGATCTTTGTATACGTATGGATGATAAATTCTTTAGGGAATGTGTATAGTGTAGTTCTGAGAAGCACGCGTGTTTCTGTGATGCAGCGTTGCTGACGGTTGCTTTGCTAGCAACTTCATCAGGTGTAGGCTCATGTACACAGTGGAGGTGGAACAGAGTAGACGAGAGTCAGCGTGGTAGTGATACAGTAGTGGAACACATGGAGAATATACTTTAACAAAAAGCTGATCCACTTGAACCATACTTAACATACTTTGCTGGTTAAATTTATGCTGATAAATCATGCCTTTGTCTGTTTATCCATCATGAAAGTCCCATTGGACAAAACACACTGAAATTAATTCAACGTTAACGACTTTACAAAGGGACACAGGCGATATTTCTATCTCGTTGAGACAGTTAACACACACCTAGGTGATACGCACTCAAATTAAATTTACCACAGTAGTTCTTATTTAATTCTTTGTCAAACATATTTGACTCAAGCATCAATAGTAATGGAAGTTTACATTAGAAATTAGAATACAATCAATATTATTAACCAAGGTAGAGTTATGAAGACACTGATTGAAAACGAAGTTCTATAAATAGAACGTAATTGAATTTCATCCAATCAAACCTAACTTTTCCCCAGACGAAATAGAATACATAGAATTCTCCCCCAAATCACCCATCAAGTTCTGAAGTAAAATGATTGCACCATTCACAGCTGGCTCTCGAATCGACGAATATAATAAACCCGATAACGAACACGAAGACAGAGACAAAACTAATTTCGATATAAATTAAAACGTCAGAAGAGGAATCGGAGCCGACTATAAAGCATCGAAGGTTATTCATTAATTAATTGAATATCGTTGATTAAAATCAATCCGGCTAAGGGTCATACTTCAATCTAGTTAGGCCTAATTCAAAACGCCGCTTGGCTGTTAGGGGGTGGTAATCGAATTATTTCGCCCCCCGCAGTTGCGCGGATGTCCGCAGCGAGCGCGGTGATCGCTAACAGAAGCGGCAGTGTTGTGTTGTACGCTTCACTCACAGTTGGTTGAGGCAGTGGCGCGAAGTGTCGACGAAATCTCGGTGGCAGTGTCATTGTTGGTATCGGCGTGCTGTTATCACTAACGCTGTGGAACTAACCTGGTAAATATGTTTTGCAACTATTAACTTACTTTCATTTGTCCGATTGGTTTATAAAGTAGGCCTAGTTTGAAATTTACTAATCTAGACACAAACTACGACGTAAAACATGGAAAACAAATTATCTTAGTGCATTAGGTAAATGTAAAAGTTTGACTTTCAAAGTAGAATCACTTGGCATTTTTAATCAACGCTTTTGTTCCTCGGAAGTATGATTGCGACCGGATTAAAAAGTTTATTAAGCGCGGTTAAGCGAGGTTTGCGTCAGAAGTAAAATTAATTAGTGTTAATTGCGCGTTATCTTTGCGCAGCGGCTTAATTGTATTGTACATCATTCAGCAAGATTGGAACGTTACGACGTTCCTATGTCTGAGTAATTCGCTCGGGTTCAATCTTGTTGATTAAATGTTTAAATTGTACGTTGCCGGAGTGTATTATACCTTCGTTGAAACATTGTCTTGATTGGACAATATGGCGTAGTAAAATGTATTAGGAACTAGTTTCTAATCAGAAACTTTATGTTCAGCTTTGATTAATTTAGCCAAGCTTTTCTGATTAAGAAAATAAGCAGTCCTTAGAACTATGTACTGTCTAGATTATTTTTGATGTTTATTTTTGATAAGATAGTCCTATGTATTTTACACATTTTGGCATCTGATGTTTTTTAGATTATGATTTGGAACTTGGTTTTGTAGTAAAACACTGAACCCGTTCTATGGTTTTGCATTTTAAAGAAATATAATTTGTATATCTAACAACTACGTAGTTATGGTTTTACACCGTAGGTTCTTATGGGGTTTATCTATTTCCCCATGAAAACTATATGGATAACATGAGAAAGATGCGTTAATCCCGGCATTAGTGTTTATTTTGTTGTGATTCAATTTGGAAAAGTTGAATTTTATAAAGTCTTACCTAATCAAAATTGCCAATAACTGTCTATATCCAATTACAATTGAGATAATTATACATTAATCGATTGCAAGCTTATTTTTTAATTAGATTCCACAGGGTCATATGTGGTCATATGCTTCGTCACTAACGGTATTTTTTTATTCACACATTGAATTTTGGATTAAAAATAAGCTCACGAAAAGCTTCAATGTTTACCCTAGGTACCACGAATACTAGAAAATACCCTGTATCATACCCATCGAACTATACATACCCTGTACAATGTTTTCTTGTTTTTATGTTCCACATTCACATCCTAAGGCGTTACGATCTATCCCGGAACTGTTTTACACATTACTTCAGGCTAATTGGTTGCGGCATTATTATTTAGTAAAAATCCATTGTTGATTGGCGGGATTTGAACCCGGGACGTTAGGAACCGAAGTCCCGCGCTCTACCACTATATCAGCTCGCTTCCTACGAGGTTGGCTACTACAATCGATCAATCAAATGTTATTATATGTTGCCGTCAATGTATGTGATTATTGTCAACTTGTTTGTAATATTGTGTAATCAGTTGAATAGGCCTAAATGCAACTGAAATTATTCAATTACTGGCAAAAGATTCAATAATTTTTTTCATATAGCGAATGAATTAGGCATACATACTTTATCTCAATTTGATTATCTGTTGTTTATCACGTGACTACAGACAGAGTAGGTGGAAGGTCCACTCAAAGATTCCTGTAACTTAATTAACAAGGTTTGGATTTAATTTACAAGAAAATATAGTCTTTTACTATCCTGTCAACCCAGAAAGTTAATAATAACAACCAAGTGAATACGGTTAGTAATGAGATTGTACATATAAAGGGTTTATAATTCAGATTTTTGGGGATTCTTCAACGGGCAAATCTATTAACCCATGTTATTAAGAATAGGTAGGTATCAGGATTGAATGCACAATGTATTATTTCTTATGTTATAAAAACAATCGTTCCGTTTTACGCCTTGCTAGCGCCTTCACTCCGTTTCACTTCATCTATTGCAGTAATTATTTGGAAAGTTTTACAATTAACGGTTCGATTCATTCTAATTAAAGAAACGCCGCTCTTAGACCCTTAGTGGCCTAATTATTGCCAGAGAGCGCGATCAGTTTCGATTTCTTATCGTATCATTGACTTCGGATACTGCAAGCAAACTCGTCATCCGGTAAAAACTAAATACTGATTAATGTAGGTTTTAAATGGTCCGCACTAGTGAGTAATACGACTATCCGCAGTACTATCCTGATAATTAGACCAATTCGTATAGGAAAGGCAAAAATGTGGTTCGGATTCCACTATAAACTGTAGGTCCCTAGCTGTTAATGGGCTATTAATTAACAGCTGTGTCTAAGGAATATGTCGGCCTTAGTCACTAACAAGACTACAAGATTGCGCCACTCATCCTTCATCTCCATTCATACTTGGCTTAAAATAACTACTTTGTATGGTCACCATTTTATCGAAAAGTATAAAAGTATGTTCAGTTTTTAACCTGGTACCAGCTTAATATTTCTTTCTTGCTTTATGGTAAAGTGTACAATGAAAATACTTCAGTTTTAATACCAGAAGATACGTAATTGTTTATAAATAGACGCATTAATTAGTTAAAAAGGTTTTACAGTCGGTTATGTAACAAATAATGAGTAGTAATCGGAACACCATCTGCATACACCACGAGTACTTGAAAAGAACTGAAACCTCCTTCTTGAGCCTATGAATGCGGAGGGTAAATTTTCAAGGACATGTGTTTAATCAATGGAAATATATATAAGTGCACCTGTAACGGGCCTACACATTTTTCGCTGATTTATTGTAGCCGTAGAAGCATTTTGACATTTTAGAAGTGCGAAAACATCATTTGTAGATATCGTGAATCTAATACAAAATTTATCTCATTTTACTCCACTGTGGGAATTTCCATATAGAGCAAGCTCATGAATTGAAAATGAAAGAAATTTAGGTAAAGTAAAAGCGAGCACTTAAGAAATACATCTCTAAAAGGTGTTTGAGGAGTTGGTGATCATTTTTTAAAAATTAACATTACCAACTACCATTTATAGCTGTGTACATTTAAACAATAAAAAATTGAATGTTATGCACATTTCCCCAATAGATAAAGTAGCAATTTTAAGTGAAGTGGGCAGATCCGGGACCGATTCACTTTTTCGTTTTGATCTCCTCAGAAAATACAAAAACGAAACTTAAAATCCGAAAACTTGCTTCAAATTCACGTGGAGGATAAGTAAACTGTTGTAGTTTGCTTGTTTATAGATATACAATTTTGATCAAAGTTGACAAATTTGTTTTTAACACTATGCTATAATAATATCACTGAACAAACCATATTACCCTTCCATGTAGCAACAAATTTAGGTACAGTGTTTAAGAAATAAATTACGAAAAATCAAATCAAGTAAATAGAGATTCGCTTACTATTGCTTCAGCGGGAGTATTTTCCATTTCGAAAGGAACTACAAGTGAGTTTGTTTTTAAATTTAGCATGTCCTTCCATTGAAAAAATCTGTTGATTTCTTATCATTTCAAAAGTCGATAAAATATACACCCTTTTTAATCAACCAAATCAACAGGTACGGTATTTAAGTTAACTACATTTTATTGTATGGCCTCATTTATTAAAAATATAATAGAATATATAGATTTCACGTACATTGTAGTATACTGATGAAATAAAATAACATACAATCACAGCACAAAGTAGACGTTGCTTAAAACATAGTATAAAAAACACAAAGCTAAAAACACAAGTAATATAGCTAAAAGTGTAATTATTTCAGTGAATTAAATCTCCGTAAATGGGCATATCACATCATATCTTATCAGTTGCAGTGGTGTCAAAATCAGGCGGTGTGAATCTAGCAACCCATTGTTGTAACCTCCCCCCCGCACGTGCTGCTGTTCACTTAATTTTGGTTTAAGCATGTCCAAGGTATTTTTACGTAGAATTTCAAGGTTCGTTCCCATAAATTAAATACAACACTTGAATGAAAACCTACAAATTACCCCCCTCCCCCCCCCCTATACTTTCGTGAACTAATATACAGAGTTGAACGCGACAACCTATAAATACCCACGCCACAGCAAACCTGCAGACTAAGCGAAATTCCATTTGCCTGATTTGATTTTCAATTAAATCTATTCAAATAACATTAGGTTTAACGAGTACCTAGGTAATAAAGTGTGTGTTTTTTAGTAGAATATTAATAGCTTAGTATAAAATAAATTGATTTGCCAGTTTTGATCCAAATATATCAATAAACAAGCAAAATACAACAGTTTACTTATCCTCCATAAGAATAACATGGGAATTTTTAATTTAAAATTTCTCCGTAACCAATAATCATACAGTAACACTTCAATGTACCAAATTATTTGTTTTTTTTAAGCTCTTCAAAATGGTCTAGAGAAAATTTAGGAAACTTTAAGTTATGAGGGTCAAAAACGAGAAAACCCATTTTTTACCCCATTCCTCCATATATAAAACCCCGTTCCCATGGTCAGATCATGCTGGTTCGCGAACTCGTTCGAATAAATGTAGGTTTACACGTTTGTACCTAATTTCATCGAAATCGGATCATTTTTGCTTCGAGTTATAGTGCTAACGGACATATATATATGAACTTGAACGGGTGGTGTTTTTGGCTTCTAGGGACCTCAAAATGAAAAAGTAAATTGGTCCCGGGTCCAAGTTTACCATGATACTTACGGTAATAGCTTATTCCCTATATGGGAAATTCGCTAAAAGACTGAAAAGGTTAAAAAAGATTGTGTATGCATTTACTTTAATATTCCAAATTGGCTTTTGTATCCGGTAGTCTATTTAAACGAGCTGATAAGGAACCTTAGGGATTCAGGCGTATCATACGATTCTAAAGTGTTAATCATGTAAAACTTTGTTGAAAAACAAAACTGGTAACATGTCACCAATCTTGGGTTTCAACCATTTAATCAATACAAAAAGTAAATCCCAACACGATATATAATTCCGCACTTCTTTTTTTTGGAAACATTTGAATAAACTCGTTTGACTATTTTAATTAAAGTTACCTAGTGATTTGTCTGTTGACAAACATAACATAACATAACATACATAACATACTTTTAATTTTAATAGTCAATTTAATTAAACCTAATATAAATTATCACTTAATCAAGTAATCTTATGTTCATACTAAGGTGAATTCCTATCACATCCTAAACTACACTTTCACTCAACCTGTCATTTCCCTCGTAATTTCCCCGCCAAATGACAGCCTGATAAGATACCTGTGACGTCACAGTGTGATGAACGAGCCTCGCCAACAATCAATCAATAACGGCACAAATTAAAACAAGTGTCAACGACGCCAATATGGCCAATAACGTAGCTTATGACATGTCTGCTTTAATTAAATCCCTGTTTACATCGTGCACTTGAAACTTGTCGAGCTCGTCTCATATATCAACCAGCTTTGTTTGAGAACTCTTGTGCGTTTTAATAAACTTTAATTGGCCCATCTTTGACACACTATTGTCATTGGAGTGTTTTCGCGTTGATTTGTTTATGTGTCTAGTTTAAACCGGTTGTGATTAGGATTGGATATGTTTAAAGTTAATTAGGGAAAATACATGTGTGGGGTTATCAATAGATAATATTTAATAGGACTGAAGTTGATTCCGAGGCATTACACTATATTTGTAAACGTTAGGATAATTTATAAACAATTAATTAGTTGTATGCCTTTCTAAATTGTTGCCAACGAATGATGCATTCATTCATCTGACTGTCATCAAACTTTAGCAAACTGCACTGTATGTTGTATGTGCCTACAACGTTTTCTATCTACCCAATTTCGATGTCCGCTAGGCCCTTTGACTTTCGAAAAGCTTAAATGGGGATTTTATTTAAAATTTTGTGTTCTCAAAATTATTGTTTATTCATGGTCAAAATAGGGATAGTTTTATGCATGAACAATCTTTGGAGCTGTTGAGACCATTGCAAATAGCATACCTAACGTTAAACATAAATAGGATTATGGTTGCAGATGTATCTGTACAATATACTTTACAACAATATAAGTATACAATGATAACTTAACAAAGAATGACTCGAAATAGTACCTACTGCAGGAACTAAATAAACAAAATCAGCTAATTCAAACAAACAAGATGTAATACAATCCGGTACCCCTTAAAAGTTACCCCTCTTCGACTGGGTGAGCTCCTAATATTTTCTATGCTAAAGTATATTGTTCATTATAACCTTTGAAACATTCAAGTTGATTTAACATTTTGTGTTAAAAAGGCATTTTCAGTTTACACGCCGCCATAATTCTCTCTAGGTAAGTCTTTTTCAGTATGGAGTTGGATTTTGTTTTACTAAAGAAATTGTCTTGTGGATTGAAACTACTGAATGTTCTCATGCCTGGTCGGTTTTTATTTATTTTTATTTTATAGGTCCGATTCTTTCATTGGGTCATTGGGGGGGGGGGGGGGGGGGTGTAAGGTGCTTTATGATTTCAAGTTTGAGAAGCAGGTTTTGAGACATAACCTAAGCCAATCCTTCATAAGGACAGGAACTCTATTAAAAGTCTGTACCTAATCACATTTAAAATATTAAAGATACATCAGCTGTTAAATTTGTTATTGTGTTAGTTTGTTTACTTTTCCTAGAGTTAACCTTTTGATTCATGGTTCTTGATTCATATATTGCTTCGAGGGAAGTGGCAGTACGTTTTTCTTATGTTGTGGGATAGTGCTCAAAACTTTGAATTCTGTTTTAATTGTTTACCTTTGTTCAGTACCTATTACATATTTTAAAAGCACAGCAATTGATATTGCAGACAAATTTTGTGTATATAATTAAGTGGCACATAGAGTTTGGACGGAGCCTTTGTTCCAACTGAGGAAAAACGCATCTGGAGGGTATTATTTTTCTTTGTGGTATGAACATTGATAAAATTAATTTATATCAAGAACAAACGCTAAATCAACAGCAGTTTGCACTGTGCAAGGCGGTGAATAATCCTACCTTCTGTGGGTTCTCTTCCCGTGGCAAGGCTCGGTCAAAACAACTATAAACTCAGAGTAATGTCACTCGATTATATACCATTGCGGTAATACCGAACTTATACTACTTATGTTATATTGCATTTTTTTCTCTTATCTACCTAAATTAGACTATTTTAAGCACTTTTTACCATTGGCACTTTTGGGGGAAACGCCTATTTCACCCTGAAAATCGCGTTTGAAAATCAAGAAAAATGCTACAAATGAATGATTTTTGGGGATTGAAAATTTTCTTTATAACTTAGGGCGGGTTTTTAAAATCATTTAGTCAATTTTAAACACTTTTTTGGCAAATGCTGTTTTTATCCAGGAAACCAGGTTTGAAAAATCGTCAAAAATAGTAAAGTTCCAAAAATGACCCATTTTTGGGTAAACCAAATTAAATAGGCTTATATAACATAATAAACTAAACTAACCTAACCTAACCCATGCTTAGGTTAACAATTTGCCAAAATGACTGATTCTGGGTAAACCCTGGTTAAGTTAGGTTAAGTTATTGACACCAAGTAAAAAGAAGTTGGGTACAGCTTCTTAACTTATCTATGCTAATACCCATTATTAGTAAACCTTCATTCGATGTTTTCACTATCAGCAAGTTTGGTTGGTTAGGTTAGGTTATGACAGTTTAATTTTAAAACTGATATAAAAAACCATGTGATTATGTAAAGTTCGTCACTGACCCCTAGGTTCATGCTCGATATCGACCATTACCTACTTGGGTCGACTGGAGCACTCCTGTCTTTATCCCCGGATTGCGTGGGTCACGTGACATTCTTGACTACGCTGATGACATTTCGTGAACCGCCAATTTACAATTTTTACCAACAACGCTTTCCACTTAACTGCCGAGATAAGTACAAAGTGCTTAGCAATGAGAAAAGGAAAGTGAGCACGAAATTAAATTATTAGATTGCCCAAGACTAAAGAAAATTGACGTTAGAGTTAAGAGAATGTACTGGAAAGTCTCATGAATTTAGACGAAATGTTAAGCCAATATGCTACGTTAGATGAACTTTTATAATATTCAACTGATATTTAGAAGGACACCGGTTTCGATCTTGGGAACGTCGGTTGCTCTTAGAAGTTTCAACTCGACTTAGCTGTCCTTGATAATTTGGACGTTAATAAATTGAAACAGCTGATCTTAGTCATTAAGAAAGCTACATAGGTAATCTCATTTACTTCTACTTCAATGATGAACCCAGCTTTCCGTGACCATTAGATTTAATAATGACCCTAGCTAAAGAAACAGCTGATCATATTTTGCAATCAAGCTACCCAGCTGATCTCATTATATTTTTCACTCATCCTACATTCATATTTAGATAAGGTAATCGCTGTAAGAAAATGATGTGGTGATAAAACAGTGATTAAAACTATTTCTTAACAACCTAGTCTGTGTCTTGTAGAAGAGTAATTTTAAAATATATTTTATCACTAGGGTTAATGGCAAGACAGATCACTGTCAAACTAATCTATTAGATATAGGAAGAACAAATAATTAGTTTATAATTCAATGCTAAACTATTTAATCAATAACCTATATCTTTTTCACTTAATTGATCAGACCACTATCTTCTTTGTTGCCCCTAAGTTACTTGTGCATTATTTTATTTTAAGTAACTTTCAAGTGTTTTATACACTGTGCATACTAATGCAACTCGTATATGTTCTTACATTAATTTGTCCTTTTTGTTTGGCCCGGCCAAAAATATTTTGCCTAACCTTATTTTAGTCTACCAGTTTTGGCTAGGCTACAACAATGGATTTTAATCAAAAATATTTAGTCCTTAACAGAAACCGTAAATACTGATATCTGTACAATGTCAATGGCTACGCTCATCAGTGCTCTAAAACTGGCTACAACATTATCATGAAATGGAATGTCCACTTATATCAATAGTGGAAACTATGACGTAATAAATACATAATTTCCACGCTGAAGTTTATTTATTTGTTTCAGATTGTGAGGAAATGCTCTAAGATGATCACAGCAGCTGCCGAAGCTCGGCTACAAGCCAACGCCGCCCAAATTGGTATGTTTTTATTTGTATCACCTCAAACATAACTGTTGTCAACAGATCCTGCAATGTGCACTTCGCACTTGATAGGCTTGAATGTTGTCATTTATAATAGGGATTGTCAGTTTAGATGGGTTCTATTTCTCTGTAAAAACTTTATGAGCATAAGTCAAGAATGTATAAAGTTTTTCTTGTTCTAAATAGTTTCCGAAGTTAAGAAAAGGTTTCATAAGACCTAGCTTAGTAAGAAAATCTACCAAGATGCCATGACTGTTTGCCAAAGTAAAATTTCTTACCGATTCTAATACCAATACCGGTAACTCGTTAGCAGATACTCATTGGTAGCAGATACTCACTGGTAGCAGATACTCACTGGTAGCAGATACTTAATGGTAGCAGATACTCATTGGTAGCAGATACTCAATGGTAGCAGATACTCATTGGTAGCAGATAATCGTGACAGCTGGTTCGAAACTATAGCTGCCTTCACTACTGGCTTGTCTATGTGACATGTCTTCAGATTCACTGCACATCAGTGGATCTATAGTGACGAGCAGTTGTCAGTTTTAACGACAAACTTTAATCAGAGTAGATTAATACACCTGGAAAACGAATGAAAGCTGAGTTTCCAATGAATCTAGAAACACTTTGGTTACCGTATTTAGCAACACAATACTTTTAAGAAACGTCTATGTGTCTGGTAATAAATCAAAATTGAGCTCACTGCTTTTGAAGAACTTAATACAACTGCTATGTCCAACTAGTGCAAAAATTCAATTATCAATAGAAAACGCTTGAAAAAAGTATATAAAATTACTGTACATAAAAAACGATCGGGTTTTCATGATCGGTTTTACGGTTTCAGTATGAGGCCGCAAGGTTCACAACCTTGGGGATTCGATTGGGAAGGCTCGTTAAGGGAAAGCGTTGAAAATGCGGGTATCGTCATGGGTTAGGCGACAATTTGACCCGCTTGCCTGGATCCCGGGATGCACGGCTAGATCACACGTTTGTGTAAAAAAGTAATTTTATGGTCTTAACTCTCCAGATAACTAGGTGAAGTTTGCTTTGGAGACCATCAGCTTTGTGTCATTGGCTTTGAAATGTAAAATTGTAAGTCTGTTTCGATGTGGCATTTCATTATTGCCAGTGTACTTTACACAAATGTACTTTGCTCTATGGGTTACACCACAGGACAAGCAAACATAAACATTTGCGAATTTGTTATGGTTTCTAAATAAATAGATCAAACAAAACAATTGGAGATAGTGCGCTGTGTCGATTTGGAAACGGGAATGAGATTACTTTGGCACTAGAAGGGGCTTATACTTCATTACCGATAGCTTGATATGCATTTTAGTATTATTGTCCATAGTTAAGTGTTATTTGGAATTTATTATGAATTAGGTTCAACATGAGTTTTCACAAGCTCAACAAGTATTTATTGTAAAAAAAAATACACTTAAATCCGTTTTGTGCCAAGAAATTTATGTAATTAAGTTTTTGGATGCGAGATTCCAATGCCTAATAAATCAGGTTGTATAAAATTAACTATAAGATCAATAATGTAATACATATTCTTTACATAATGTGAATTATGAATCTTATACGCGGGTAGCTTCTGAGAGAAACATGTGGAATATTATTCACAACAGTATAACATGACGACAACAATGATAAAACACATATCAGCAATTCGGCAATGAAGTAGGGGAAACAGGACTGCTAGTTTATGAACTTCTCTTGTCTCTAAATCGTGAATACATATTTTTAATTTGAATTGCGTTAAACACCGTGTATATAGATTAGATAGATTACCCCACACTCAATCAAAGTGTAAAGTTATCATCCTATCAACCCCACGACAATTGCTAGAGATCTCTAACTAGCTAGACTAGTCGTACGAGTAGATCCGAGGGAGATCTCCCCCCTTGGATTTATTTAACCCTGTCGCTGGATTGGTCACCCTAGCAACTTCTTTTCTATCAGAAAGATGTTCTTGGGGCTCGTTTAATATGATTTGGCCAACGGCTAAGGGTGACCCTAGTTAGGTAGGCAGAGGACCCTACGAAGGTGCGTCTGTATAGGCCTACTGATTTTGAGGTTAAGCGCGACTGCAAAGGTGTAAGTACGCAATGATTTCATTTTCCTAGATATCCGGCTAGCTTATAGTATTCGTCTTGTGGTCAGAGGTCCCCAGTTTGATTCTGAGAAAAGTCAGCTAGACCCAACTTTTATGGTTTAAAATTGGACTCAGCAGTCCTTTAACAGTGGGGTGTTGTTAAACTAATTCTGGAAAATAAAATAGCCTATTCTAGTAAAACTGGATACACATTTTACCATTAGGGTACCAATGATAATTCATTTAAAACTAATGCCAATCAAATTATTTTTTCTTGCAATGTAAGAACAGAAATATGCTGGCTGTCATATTAGTGGATAAGAAAGTACTGTTTGACCATTTCAATATATTAGTTTATCTAGCAAAAATTAAATTAAATTCACTGTGTTTTCTATCGTCTAGACTCGGTAAACAACTGATAATTTCTTCATTTTTCCTTCGTTAAGGGATCCCTATAATTCAACTTAAGATAATTTTATGATGTTGTTATTTGTTGTTGTAATTAAAGAGTAAAGTATTCAAAATAAAATACTGTGTACAATTAGTAGTCTACTTCTAAAACAAGAGAAACACTCGTCGAGATCAACACACCTGTAAGAATGACGTGCTTAAAACTTGAAGCACACAAAACAAGTTTCAGATTTCAGAAATTTAGATGGACCAAAAACAATCTATGAATAGTTATTTTAAATTTTATTTTACCAAACTCTTTTTCAAATCCTAGGCGAAACAATTGCGTGGCTAATTTCCTCCACTACCAAACACAAATAACCAATGTGGGATTATTATAACTTGAATGTCTATTGGGTGTAGCCTACACTGATTACCAAGACAAATTGAGAAAATCCACAACATCATTAACCATGTTCAAAGCAATCAAACGCCCGTCTATTCATCAAGGTTGAATTAAAAGATTAATAACCACACCAAAGCCTACGTCACCATTAAGCAAGAGAAGATATTTTACCAATTTTCTAAACCCTTCTTGAAAAATATCCCAGAAAGGCGCGCGAAGACTCGGCGAGATTAAAGGGAGTTGATTAATGGAATTCCTAATTACTCAATTAATTTTGTAATTACAATTGCATCTGCATATGAAAGCCTTCTGAGAGGGAGTTTTCTAATAACGAAGAGGGTTATCAAGGGTCCCAAAACGGATCGCTATGGAAGCTCATTATCGTGTATCGTGTGAACATTTATTCATAACGTAATGGCGCCATTGACGGCATCAGACGTTAGATTGCGCGCCTGAATGTCTTTGAGCCGTTAAAGGCCGATCCATTAGTAAAATAACGTCAGTTGATGATGTCATGGGTAAAAATAGCTTTGTATAACAGGAATGGTTGATTTTGATCCACTCTACAGTACTTTCTTTTATCTCGACTACACTATTATCTGTGTAACTTTGCGTTAGTCTCGAAAAGGTGGGGTAGAATAAATTAATGAAATCGTACAAAAGTAAATGTAGGAAGTGCACAAGTATGCCTAAGTAACGTTTTTCTTTTTTTCGCCTTATGACCAATAGGTACTCCCTTCTAGAAGCTCCGCCGTAAAACATGTGGACGTGTAAAGCTAGGCGCCCACCGCGCAACTCAGCGGGTGGCGCGGCGCGGCGCGACGCCGTGGAAAAAAGTTGCCACGTATCCGTGCCATGTTATCTTATGGACTGACGCCCACCTAGCAACCCAGCGGGTGGCGCAACGCGGCGCGGAAAAAAAACTTCTTCTCGAATCCGGCAGTGAGAATTCGGTGGAGAATTTCTTCCTCTCGTGTTGCCGCGCCTCCGTTGAGTTGCCTGGTGGGCGCGGGGTAGAGGCACGGAAACGGCGTCTGCCCCTCGTCTGCCGCTCATTCGGGTGTTTTCGGAAAGTATCGCGAGCCCTTCGGGAGTGTTCGGGTCCGAATCGAAGTGCACTGTGCATCCCCTCCAAAAGAATAATTCTCCGCGCTGCCCCGCGCTTCCGCTAGAGTTGCTTGGTGGGCGCGAACCCTGGAGAAGCGGACGGAAGTTTTTCTCCGCGTCGCGCCGTGCCGCGCCGCGCCGCGTCACCCGCTGGGTTGCCCGGTGGGCGCCTAGCTTAACAGGCGTTTGCCGAGGGGATAATATAAAGATAGAAAAATTTAGATAGAAAAGTTAGTAGCTTTTCGATGGTTCGAAACTGGCCAGATGTCATTGAACATTGGGATTTTAATAAATGGTAGTGGCTAATAAAACAGCGGATCAAGTCAGTAATAAAGCTACTAAAGGCATCTTATTCATTTCTACACTAATTCTATTCTTCTCTCATATCTGTGTTCTCTCATATAATATCCACTTTTATGTGTCGTCCCCATCGCAATCTATATATATATAATCCAATGTATGTTTGTTTGTATGTTTGTTTGTTTGTTTGTTTGTCCTTTATGGACTCCGAAACCACTAGACAGATTGTAATGAAACTTTCAGGCATTATTAAGTATTATTCAAGGATGGTTTGTGTGAAGTTTGGTGCAGATCCGTCAATAGGGCTCCGCCCCAGTGGCTCTGGAGTTTCCCATGTTAACCTTATGAGTACTCATATTTAAATGGAATTAAAGAATTTTAACAGTTGGTTCAACTAAACAATTTGATTCTGTGATATTCAATAGCATTAAAAAGTTAATAGTTAAAAGTTAATAGTTAAAAGTTAAAAGTTAATAGTTAAAAGTGAATAGCATTAAAAAGTTAAAAAGTTAATATTACCAACAGGGTGTAGCACTATATTTTTCTTAATTTATGACATCAGCTAATTTGCAACCAAAAGGTGAGTGAGCGTAGCGAACGAACTTCAACCGGGACGTGATTGAGCCATGCGAACGAGCTCATCTTGAAAATGAACGAGCATAAAACCACATTAGGACAGGACGACGTCTG